GAGGCCCTGTGTCTCCGGGGCCAGCCCCCTCCCCGGTCCCGCGGCTGCGGAAGTGCTGGTGCGACCACAGGGAAGGGGGGGGGGGACCCCGACCCTCACTGGCCCCGACCCCCACCCACACCGTCTCTGGAGCGTCTTCTTTCGGACTCGGAGAGCAGGTCCCCAAACTGGGGTCCCCGGGAGCCTGGAGGAACCCCAGGCACAGGACCCTCCTCCCACGCAAGGGCCACATGCAGGCGCTGGCGTTGCCTTCAGCCCATAAACACCCGCGGGGGAGGTTGTGCCGGGAGCAGGTCCCGGGTCCTGTGCGCTCGGGCAGAGCTGAGCTGAGTGTTTACGGAGCTTCAGTCTCTTCCTGGGGACAAAGGGCACAGGCGGGACCCTGTCCTCCCGGAGCCCCTGAGGCCACAGTGGCACCAGGACGTGGATGGTCCTTTGAGCTGGGCGATTGGGAGGAGGACGGCACAGGGTGCTTGTGGGGGGCTGTGGGGAGTGTGGGGGGGATAGTGGGTTCTCAATAGAGGAGTTTTCCTGGTTGCAGCTGCCCCCGTCCTGCCAGGGCAGGGTGACCTTTGAGGACGTGGCCATCGCCTTCTCCCAGGAGGAGTGGGAGCTCCTTGACGAGGCTCAGAGGCGCCTGTACCACGATGTGATGCTGGAGACCTTGGTCCTGATGGCCTCCCTGGGTAAGGCTTTCACACTCCCCCCGTGCCCTGAGCTGTAGTGTCTGCCCTTCCCTTTCCCCCCTGAGCCGGTCTGTCCTCACACCAGGATCAAGGCACAGCTTTCTTCCCCAGGTCCCTGGATGGGTGCTGTGCTTACACCCCTGGATGGGTGCTGTGCTTACACCCCTGGATGGGTGCTGTGCTTACACCCCTGGATGGGTGCTGTGCTTACACCCCTGGATGGGTGCTGTGCTTACACCCCTGGATGGGTGCTGTGCTTACACCCCTGGATGGGTGCTGTGCTTACACCCCTGGATGGGTGCTGTGCTTACACCCCTGGATGGGTGCTGTGCTTACACCCCTGGATGGGTGCTGTGCTTACACCCCTGGATGGGTGCTGTGCTTACACCCCTGGATGGGTGCTGTGCTTACACCCCTGGATGGGTGCTGTGCTTACACCCCTGGATGGGTGCTGTGCTTACACCCCTGGATGGGTGCTGTGCTTACACCCCTGGATGGGTGCTGTGCTTACACCCCTGGATGGGTGCTGTGCTTACACCCCTGGATGGGTGCTGTGCTTACACCCCTGGATGGGTGCTGTGCTTACACCCCTGGATGGGTGCTGTGCTTACACCCCTGGATGGGTGCTGTGCTTACACCCCTGGATGGGTGCTGTGCTTACACCCCTGGATGGGTGCTGTGCTTACACCCCTGGATGGGTGCTGTGCTTACACCCCTGGATGGGTGCTGTGCTTACACCCCTGGATGGGTGCTGTGCTTACACCCCTGGATGGGTGCTGTGCTTACACCCCTGGATGGGTGCTGTGCTTACACCCCTGGATGGGTGCTGTGCTTACACCCCTGGATGGGTGCTGTGCTTACACCCCTGGATGGGTGCTGTGCTTACACCCCTGGATGGGTGCTGTGCTTACACCCCTGGATGGGTGCTGTGCTTACACCCCTGGATGGGTGCTGTGCTTACACCCCTGGATGGGTGCTGTGCTTACACCCCTGGATGGGTGCTGTGCTTACACCCCTGGATGGGTGCTGTGCTTA